CCCTCTCTTGTCTCGTACATAGATGCCGGTCGTTGATTTCCACGTATAATGGACGTTTTGATATCGTGCACTGGCTCTAATTCGGGTTCCTGTTCTCCACCGACATGTCCGTTTATGTTGTCATCACTAGAATCTTTTACCTAAATTATAAATCGTTTTCAATTTTCAGTATTCAGTACGATTATAGACATTGGTATATTATTTAATGAATAATACTACTTGTGTATTGCATACAAGATAAAATTTCGCATAGTTACCTGTAGCATACGTTTGAGCTCGCTATTTTCTTGAGTGAGTTGCTCAACGGCGTTTTGTAAAGTATATATCTGCTCGCGGAGATCTCGTACAGTTGATTCAGATAAAGTTAATTGTTTTTTTAAAACTTCTACCATAGATGGAAGACCTTTGGCCATTGGTGCAAATGCTTCCTAGACAACATAATGCAATAATAATCTTTATTTTAAACTGACACAGAGTACACATTTTTAAAATGACACAAAAAAATTATTATAGCTTAATATATTTCTATAGTCTAGTATATAGCATGTATCTACTCAAATCTTGCAAATTTCCTGAAAATTCTCTTCACTTTTTGTTAATAGTGCCGATACTTTTAATATTTTTATTACGAATAGATGAATATATATACAAGTTTTACGAAATATTATTTTTTTTCCTTATTTTTTCTTGAAGTAATTTAAAGAAAATTAAGCACTTTGTGCTTTAAATTACTGCAAAATAGTATATTTTCACAAAATATGTGTATATCACAATTTATATATAAATCAGATAAAATATCTTGATTTTTGTATACTAAGAAGGATGCACAATATTCAAACTATTAATTTAGAAATAGAAATAATTTCGTTTATATGTATTTAACTTTGTATTCAAAGAACAAATTTCAAAATAACTTGTTGATCATACTTGTCGAATCTCTTACTTGTTAAAGCTTACCTCATTATTAATTTTAATTTCATTTGCCACATCAGACGAGGTATTATCTGTAGATGTTAAAGCAGTATAGTCATCATCGGATGCGACACTATCATACAAAGGTTCATCGTCAGACATTTGTGATCCATGTTTACCGAGTTGTTCTTTGTGCAGCATAGATATCGCGGGATCTAAAGGACAATATATATAT